ATAATGATCTTCTGGCATCATCACCAGAGTTTAATATATTTGCGTCAAGCTGGAGGACTGTATAACTTTCATTGATCCAAAGATGTCAATTTATCTTTATACCTCTACAAAAATATTAAAACAAATCAAATAAAAAAGAACTACATCCTAAATATGAGTTTTGGAAAAGGGCTGGTCTTTTCCTTGGTCAGAGGTTAAGCATTGCCATACGGTTGGCACAATAGCTGGCACCTGAAAGTGATACAACCTGTCGTGAAAACGACAACGTTTTAGAAATAAAGTGCTGGGTGCCTATATCTATCCCAAAAACAACAGTGGCGCCAAATAATGAAAATAATTTGGCCAAAATTGCACTACTGGAGCTAACAAGCAAATTCACATTACGATCAATCTTCTAATACACCAATCTAGTACCGTACACTGCTCGACTGTCTCGTTGGCCGAGTGCTCGCAAGTGCGACTGCCGGGCAAAGGGTCTCGGGTTCGATACCCGGGTCGGGTTGGGCAAAGTATAACGGGTTTTTTTGAAAAAAATCCCAGTAGGTACAGTCTAGTATTGTGCCCGGTATAGGGCAATAGGCTCACCCCCTATTACATGAGACGCGTAACATAAATCGTGAAAGTCGGGTGTTACATTGTATGTACATTGCCCTTAAGTACCGTAATTTGCACCTCTGCCTACCCCTTCGGGGATAAAAGGCGTGATGTTATGTTATGTTACTACCATACACGTACTTACGTTTTCATGAACTAGTAAACAAATATAAAGCTGTCAACTTCACAATAATAATTGTATATTCATAGACGTAAGACAATCAGGAAACGTAATTGTTAGGAGACAATAGTAAGTTATACAATTATAAGCCTAAAGAAAGGGGTGTACGCATTATATTTACTTTAGCATTTAGCCAAGATACTCGTAATTGAACAAGTTAATGATATTTTGTAACTTCACATCATTTTCTGTTAGGTGTGTTCGTATTTTGTTATTATGTAAATTGTTTGTTTTTCTTCTTGTTGTTGTTGGTGTCGATAATAATTTTATAAAAGACTAGCTTCTGCAAAGTCAAAGTCAAAGTCAAAATCATCATTTCAATTAGACCAGGAAGGCACTTTTGAATGTCAACAACAAAAAAATTTAGAAGTGAAGCTAGATGGTCATTCCAAGGTGTAGATTCCTATGGAGAAGAACGAGCAAGAAACTCCGTAGGTTACTCTTTTTCAATCGGGTTTTTTTATGGCAGTTTTACAATACAATTCTCTAGTTAGTACAATTCTCTACATAGTTTTGTTGATTCGATTGTGACTGGACTTGCCCGAACTACTTGTCCGGACTTCTTACACGCAATCCCTTTTCCATAGGATTTTTGGAATCCTGGAATAAAAAGTATCCTATGTCCATCTCCTCGTCGCGGAGAACCTAACGGGTTACCGCGGCTCCGGCTCGAAGTGTAGGAGTAGGAACGGGGTGGTTTTTAGTCAGTAAGAGTCTGACACTCCCTCCCGCCTCACCCAGGCGGGAGCAGCGATTCGATGATTTTCCCCCCCTTAAAAAATGTTCATCTCCTGGTCCTAAGTTACCCTGTCACCAATTTTCATCCAAATCGATTTAGGCGTTATTGAGTTATAAGTAGTGTAAGCAACACGACTTTCTTTTATATATATATATATATTTAAAAGAAAGTCTTCACAGATTTTGTTTAGAATATTTGATATTTCGAAAGCTTCAGTTAGTATTGTCATGTCTTTTCGTGAGATAAATATATAGGGGTTATACTTAAATGAGAATATGAATATGGCTTGCTGTACCTCGAATAAAATTCTAATATTCCACCTTTTTGGTATTTTTGTTAGCAATTTGCAAGAGTAGGTAATGTTGATTGGACATCATCTGTGTTTAGGCTAAATTTTGGGCCTCTAAAATACAAAGTAATTCATGTATACAAATTACTTTAATTCATACTAGTAGGAATTAGATAATCTATCTATCTACCTCTATATAAATAAAAATGAATGTCTGTTCGTTGGTCTCGCTAAAACTCGAGAACGGCTGAACCGATTTGGCTAATTTTGGTCTTGATAGGTTCGTGGAAGTCTAGGGAAGGTTTAAAAAGTGAGAAAAAACTTTTAGGCGGTACGAAGTTTGCCGGGTAAGCTAGTTATACATAAATAGCTCTATTTAACCCTTTAATGGCGAAAACCTCATGATGTTTAAATCAATTTAAAACAGAAATGAGAAAATGCTACACTAAAGTCGGACAAAACCCCGTATGTAATTAGTTCGCCGGTTCCTCAATAATTACCTCTGGTCATCCAAGGAATGAGATCAGATTTCTAACAAGGAAGTATTTTATATCGTGTCTGTATAGTACAGGCGGTTTTTATTAGCTCATGGCAATACTAGCCTTTAATGGTGGTTAGGAATGTTGGGTTCACATAGATGGCTTATGTGATGTCATGAGTGGAACGAAATTTTGAGGTTCAAACGTCATGTTTTGGATGGAGTTTGATACAGTGAAATAGGGTATATGCCTAATTTTATTTTAATGTCCGTCTGGTAGACTATTTTAAATCATTAGACACGTATTTTTTATTTTCTTACAAAAACGAATACTTTCGAAGATATATTGATTTGAAATGTCGCGTGACGTCACTTCTATGTACAAATTATACGTAGAAATGACGTTTTAACCCCCACTCCTAAACTTTGATACGTTTTATCTAAGTATTGTTTTATTATACGACAAAATAAAAAAAATATGTGTCTAATATTTTTTCATTACCCAACTGACGGACTAATTATATTTTTAATTTTCATACCCTGTCATCATCCCTATAGTAGTTTTGTTTGTTCAAATTTAATAAAAATATAGATGAATTCATAGCAGGGTATATAGCGTTGCGCCTTTCATCAGTTCTGTTTTGAATCACATATCATTAAAACATAGTATTTCTATACTAAACTATAAACCAGGGAGCTTACTCTTGAATCCAATTCCGATAGATCGACATTAGTGTTGTGAAATTTCATACTCTTGAGTTACAATACTAGCGCCTATTGCACCCATATTGAGTGGATATTGAATGAACTAAATGGTATTGAGTTTGGCTATATATTCCGTACTCTGAATGCTATTTTAACAGCTCTATGATAGGGATTGTATAGTTTTGACATTGAATAATTATTCAGATTTTATTGAATTGAAATTGAGATTGGTTTCAAGAGTTACCCAGGTAAGATTTCAAAGTCAGTGTTATATTATTGAGATTAATTAATATAGGGTCCATGTAATGTCTTCCACGCTCTACCAAGAAGTCTTTAGTTTTATTCTGCGAATCGGAAACCGTTATTTTGTGGTCGCACTTGCAGCCTCTTAACAAACGAGGCCGTACTATACAACAACAATATCATCTACATAACATTATGTTATGTTATGTATTAGTTACACGGCTTTCATCCCCGGAGGGGTAGGCAGAGGTGCACATTATGACACTTAATGCCACTGTACAATGTGACACCCCACTTTGCACTATTTATGTTATGAGTCCCATATAATAGTACAATATAGTTAAAATACTTTTTTTTGAGGTGCGAAAATCATTCAATGTCTTCAGCCGCCTTTGGGTGCGACGAGAGGGAGTGTCAGACTCTTACTGACTAGAAACCACCCGGTTCCTACTCTTGCTTATCGAGCTGGAGACCCGGCAACCTGGTATGTCCTCCACAGCTAACATAGTTATACTAAACAATGTACTGTACTGAGTAATTTGTTTAAAGTCTGGACTCTGCTAACTTAACTCATATAAATGACCACTCCAATCTCCAACTTATGATGGTGGTGACAGCAATTAGATTTAGTCCTTATGTTAAATGATAATAGATTGTGTTTTGCTTTGTGGGTGGGCCAGTTATCCATGGGTTTCGGTTACCTTTTTAGTAGTATGGGTGCGAACAAAATTGTTTTCGTAAACAATATTAGGATGCTTCACTGATTTTAAATCTGCATTAGATACAATATCCACTGACTGCCTTGTCGGTTGAGTGTTTGAGTTCCTCCCTTTCATGTCAAAATTTTTCGATCCAAAATTGGGCGTTATATTTAGAATTAGATATGTACTTCTGTTACGTACCTTTGATTATTAAAAGCGTGATGTTATGTTACGTTAATAATAAAATAAAGGTTTCAAAAACGTACACATCTAACTAGCCTTCACTGAGTTAACCCTTGGCCACCACTGACATCCTATTGATGAAAACATCGTGAGAAATCTTGACTTATAATTTCTACGTTTGAAATCGCCAATCCGCCTTTAGCAAGCGTAGTGATTAATGTTGAAACAACTCGTTTCCGCGTGAGAATAAGTCTTTACTCAGTAGTAAGCACTTATAGTCTGGTGATGTGTAGGATATTGTATTGGCTTCGAATATTCTGAACAGATTTGACCGTATAAAATCCGAATTTACCTGAACTAATTAGAAAATTGTATCTACCACTTGAAAGCTCCTTTAAATAACATATTTTCTCACAAGTGAAACCACGGGATGAAAGTAAGCTATGAGAGCGATACACGTGTTTGTGCTTGTATTGATAATTGCAACCATCCCTACTTTGTTTTAACAATTTACTCTTTTGTTTTTATTAATTTGAGATCGGAGAATGCAAACAAAGTTTTATTTTTTTTTTGTTTTTCCTCATCCCGCATCGGTTTGTTTGTTTTTATGTGTCATGTATGTAATGACAATTCTACGCGTTATTGGTTGATGTTAAGCTGATAATGCAAATAATATCTTATGTCTAAAGCATCAGAATGCAAGTTTGTTTACTGCGATCTACAATTTCTATGTACTATATTAAAAATTAAAATGCATTCAATAATATTAACTTCTAAGACAGGAATCAATATTCAGTCCACTTTTTAAAAAAATAAAAGAAACTCAATTACTGCACAATAATTCCTCTTCCATCAAAAAAAAAATAGAAGAAAAAAGTTCAACTCACCGTTCAATTAAAGGTGGCCAATCAAATTCGTCGACGTCACAAAGTCCACAGAATGGAATGTAATTTAAAAACAAATGGTGTTCTAAATTCGAAATCAGTTGAGCGATACTATACGACCGTTTCCATGGGAGGTATGCCTTGACTGTGCTGCTGTGTGGCCCGTCGTCCCCTTTTATATGAGCCGGGCTGTTATACAATGGACGCAAGATTAAAGAATGTAATTTTCAATTAATATTTCCCTTATTTCACGGTAGGTATTGTTAATCTTAGGATTATTTTGGAGTTATATTTCCATAAAAATAATCCTATTTTAATTGAAATATGTTTAGTTAGTACCTACCTAGAGGTAATCACGTCTGCTAATTGTTTGGGATTTAAAATTTCGATTAAGAAAATGGGTAGTACGTTGACACTGTCAACTCCAAACATTGATTTGCATCATGCATAGTACTTAGCAGTTTTTTGTCTTCGTATTTAGAAACATTACATATAACATTACAATAGAAATATTACATTATAAAGTAATTTATATTATATAGTCCCTATAAATACTACAACTAATGTTTTTTATTAAATAGTGTTTAAGTTTGAAGTTTTGGGATACCAATTACAATTATCAATACTTACATAATATTATTTTTATTTTTCACTATCGCCACGGATAGTTTATAAAAAGGTCATAAAAAGTTAAAGTTCGATTCGCGGAAACTTTTAAGTCCCCTATCCGCAGGTAATTCAATTAGTCAGGGTCACCGGCTTTCAGACAACCCCTTCGGTACTGGATGCAATACTTTTTTGATGATAAATCAAAATATTTTTTAAATTACTCAACTTTTCCTTAACTCTAAGATAGTTGTAAATTGTACTGAGCCTATCAGTTGCATAAGTAGATATCCTCGAGGCATCGCCAAAGTAAAAGTCAAATAAATATCTATTGAACCACAAAACTAAAGTAAAAAAACAAGATTTTAAAACCTATTTTATTTAAAAATTGTACCAAAATATAACTTACTAGCGGCCCGTCCCGGCTTCGCACGGGGGACTTAAGATTTTTTACATAGTTTTACGTTTTATTTATATTTATTCTCAGTTTATTATTTTTGAAATAGTAGGTAAGTACTTACCTAATAGGTATCTTTTGGATGAATTAATAGTCTTAAGGTAACCGATTGAACAATTCAAAAGTTATCTAGAGCAAACTTTTATAAGGATTGAACCATTCATTAAAACGATTGTTATGGGTAAACTATAAAAGGTAGACATATGCTCTCGCGGACTTTTTTAAAAATAATGTTAAGATGAACAATTCATCTATAGAGCATTTTTGTATAACTTTAACTATATGCTCAGCGCACGCCACGGAAGGCCTCAGAAACGATACTTTTCCCCCGTTTTTAAAACATTTTTGGTTACTGCTCCACAACTATAGGACCTAGCGTGATATTATATTGCCTATGTTACTTCTGAATAATGCAGCTTTCTAATGGTGAAAAAATTATTGCAATCGGTCCAGTAGTTTTTGAGTTTATTCATTACAAACATACAAAAATACAAAAATACAAATCTTTCCTCTTTATAATATTAGTATAGATTGTGATATCATTAAAATACACCTGTAAGAAGGGCCCCAAAAGCTTTTAATTAAATAGAGAAGTGATGCAGCATTTACGATCCATATTTAATTTTTTAAAGTGGCTTACCTACTTAGCGGAAGCGCTCTTGAACTTGTCACCCTACTGAATTTAATATTAGATGAAAAATTATCATCACCATTTAAAATGTTGCTTTCGATTTTTTCATTTATTAAATTAAACTTGACTTGACACACACTAAAATTTTTTATTGTTCTTCAGACATTGAAATGGAACAGATACTTTTATGGCAACTGAGTCTCCACTATTTAGTAGTTGACTATTCTACCAGCGTCATGTGTTACGGCAGATGGATACCGTACCGTCGAACTTTATTCACTTCAAGGTGTGTCTGCAGTTAAATCAAATAATTTTGTTGACAAATAATTGTCAATGAATAAAACATAAAAATAAACTTTGCCTTCATACATAGGTAGTCTACTTTCATAGGGCTGAGGCTATTTTACGTACAAAATAAACTCAATTGAAATAATTTTAATGGGATATAATTTTTGTCCCCATTATGGAACGAGTCGCGCACGCGGTTGACTTTACGCGACGCACCCAAACGTGAAATAATAAGTTCTATTAGATACTGATTCAACCCTTTCTCAACTCGTTTAAGAAATATAAAAATGTCAAAAGTATTTTCTCTTATAATATCAGGATTTTATAGATAGGCATGTTATACTTTTAGCCACTTACTTGTATTTGTGGAATATCTTTGTAAGTGCAGTCCTACAATTTTCATACCTTTTTTAAACTTATCTATTAACAATTATAGGTAAATTAGTAAGTAGTTACTAGTAAGTAGTTTTTTAGTACCTGAACAAATCATTTCTTTTTTTTAATTGTGGTCTGGCTGCGCATCGACCGCTTCTATTCTCTGCACTTCCCTATGGTTGACTGTCAAAGAATGCCTTAAGGCATTAAATACGCCATTCAGTGTTATCTTTTGTGAAGAAGAAATAAATATACAAATAATCACTAGGGATGACTATTATGTTTCTATCAGATAGGTCAGTACTCGAGGAGGCCGATCACCTGATGGTAAGTAAGCAGCACCATCCACAGTAGATAGCCGCAACGCTAGAGAAGTTACAAGTACGTAACCGGTATTTTGAGGAGTTGGAATTTTGAAGATTGGGAATAGAAGAGAAAGGAGGGTTTATGGGTCTAAGAAATAAGAAATAAAACATTTTTTTAAGTAATTTATGCAAAAGTTGACGAGAAAATAATACCCTGACAAAAAATTCTATATTTTTGTTGCATTCTTTCCCTTTGATAAAATGTGGAATATACCATAGGACCAAGGCCTCAAACGATGGCCATGACATGGTGTTCTTTTGTTTTGTAAACGAATTAAATGAATGAATCTCAAATTGAAGGACTGATTGAAATGACTTGCAATAAAGACAGACATTTTGCATTAATTTCAAAGTATACTTGCAGTCAGAATCCTGCCAAATATAACTTATTCATTTATTTTATTTAATGACAACAATATCTTGAAATTGAAAACAATCTTTAACAAATTTACAGGAAATAAATTTATATTTGAAATTCATTTGAACATTTGCTTCGCACACATTTTGGTTTTTTAATCCGTCATTGTTTTTAATTATACATTTTTAATAATGTCACTAGAATAGGTCATTAAGATACGGGTCATTGTCATCATTGTCAAATAAGATACGGGAGATTAAAAAAAATACATCTTATACCTAGCTATGAATCACTAAATATAACATTTGTTACTTAGTAAAATGTGTGTCGAAATGTTATTCAAAATGAGATTGGTATCATTTCAGCAGCAGTAGCCAAATGCCATTTAGCGCTTGTCTACAGAGAGAGTAGAAATCAAAATGTATCTATGGGGATGACACTGTCAAGTGAGACAAGTGAGATACTGTCAAGTGTCAAAATTTACGTCAATTCCATATAATTTGGTTTTCTATTCTACATGTAGACAAGAGCTAAATGGCATTTGGCTACAGTTGCAGGCATGTTTGCGAATCGACAGGCGTTGGATTTTTTAACATTATTGCGCATGCTCAATAAAATGCCTTTTAGCATGCTATTTTAGAGTATATGAAACAATATCTTCAGGTACAGTTCATTCATGAGGTGGTGATTGAAATGACAACAAAATATAAAAGAAATCAATTCAAAATCACAGTTTTACTTTAGTATGACAATGGTATATACTATTGGTAAATTAAATGCTTACTCATTCTTCTAAATACTAAATTTTAGTAAATTAATTTAGCTTAAATTAGCGTCCAGACCAGTGTTGTTATTATAAGTTAATTTTAATTTAAAGCGTAGACCACCGCTGTTGTTTTGACGTCATCATCGTTTCAGCAGTGTTTCTCTGGCTTTGCGCTAAAATAATTACCTTACCTTATTTTGTGGTCATAACACGGTAAGTAACATCTTAAAGAAAATCGTGTCGCACAAACACGTCAAAATGGTTCAAAAGTTAACAACATGCTTAGAATCAAAACCAAAGCCTCAATGTTTTGATATAATTTCAAGATTAACAAGAAGACTTACTTTATTTTTTATTTTAAGTGCTTAACAAAATTTTAAGTGATTTATAATTCTTGTCTTATAACATAACACATAAC